AGAAATCTGACTTTTCGCCTCATGGAACACACATTTCTATTTCTTAGCTGTCAAAATCCCTTAGATATTCCATTTTTGATTCTCTTGGATCATCCAAATAATTACGAAAATGGGGAAAGTATCGCTGGATTTGATTTCAAGAGGAAACTTCATCATATTGATGTTAGAGTATTAAGAGAATACTTTCAAGAGTCAAGGCTCAATGAGAGAATTTATGCTTGGAGCAGGGGTGGGGAATGGACACCCTACCCCTGCTTGATTGATTATCAAGGGAATCCAAAAACAGAATGGCTTCGGTTTGAGAGAGTGCCGTATTCGGCTTCCTATAGCCAATTCACGAACCCACAGTCGTTGACGATAAAGAAGTTACCTAGGAGAAAGACAAAGGAAAAAAAATGCTGATCGCTCTGTATCCTAACCGTAGTCTTCCCGACTTCACAATCTCTCGATTTTGTATTTTACTTGTGAAATTTTTGAACTTTATGTGTCTTTATGCTGCTTGTTTTCTTTCCTTTTTTTCCAGATCAATAAAGTGCTTATCTAAACCAGAACGTTCTTTATTCTTGAGCTTTTTACAAAACCATCCAGAAAACGTACTTTCTGCCCCCTGTCAGTAATAAGTGCAATTTTCAGATCAACACACACAAATAAGAGAAATCAGATTTTCACCAAAAGGGGAATTGGAATGGAACTTTTATAATCTTCACAAACACTTTCAAACTTATTCTAAAGAATTAAACATGACTATGTTTAATGTGTCCAAACCTACTCACTACTTAGTGTTAGTTTTTCCACTATTTCCTCTGACTTTTGAACGGATTTCTGTTTCTTTTTTGATTTGTAGATATTCATTTACATCCATAGTCAAATAAATTTATTCGATATGGTTGGATCTGAAGAAAGGAAATATATCATGAAGATAGAATATCGGAATTTGGAATAACGGCTCTAGAATAAAGGGAGATAAACTCGGAACACCAAATCCTGTTGAAAGAGACAATTTCTACAAAGAAGCACCAAGTATTGTTTCAAGATTCAAAGAAGGACATGTGCAAACTGGTTTGTTAAATTCCGTTCTGGGGTTGAATCTTCAAAGTCGAACGGAGGGTCATCCAGGCCTTCTTTTCGCGAAATAGCAGAAGAGCTATCAGTTGATCATACGATAATACTCGAACATTGCATACAGTTGGGTTTAAACCGTATTAGAGACTTGGATTCCACATGATTTAACGAAACCCAAAAATGGCAATGTGTCAGAAATCAGTGCTGCTCATCTTTCTTGCTACGGGTGCAAGTCTTTTTTTACCCCGTATTGTGACGAAGGATGAAAATGGATTCTAACCGTCAACTTTCAAAGAAGGCGCCAATGGGTTACTGAGGGGGAAAAAGCCCGAACCCGACGTCAAGCCAAATGTGCATGAGAAGAAGTTTATGCTCTCGGTGTTCTGGGATTTGGAAGAAAATACTCGCTTCAACTCTCTGATATTCATTGTGGTGTTGGTCAGTCCAGTGGGTGCCACCTACTCGCTCGAAGCAAGGAAGTCCCGATTGGGGGATGTGAGGAAAGCGCTGGAAAATGTGCGTTTTTTGGATCACTTGCCTACATCTAAAGAATCTCTACTTTTCTTTTCTTTTCCAATTTAGAATAGCTTTCCGCAACCGCTCATTATGGAGGCTGATGACTTGGTAAAAATACGATACGATTTCCGACCTTACGTTTTACAATTTTGCTACGTTTTGCAACTTGCACAGAACTTTCTGGATCAATTGAATCCCGTATCTGAATCGAATTGAACCAATCATTTTGTAAACTGCGTTTACTTTCTAGAAACCAGCCACCATCTTGTGCAAGGCTGGATCATACAGGGTGTCCCAAAAAAAAGAGGCCTTTACCTGGGGATTTTTTGAAAAAGTTGAAGTGGCTAGAGGTGGCATTCCTGGTGTCAAAACTGTTTTTTCTGTGTCTCAATTTTTTGACTTTTTGTGAGAATTTTTGATTAGATGACTCCCCTATTCGTGAAATTTCTGAGCCTTCCTGAGCCTTCTGGAAATTTCTGAGGTCACCAACATCATATGGACAACCACCATGAAACCTTTGAAGCATCATTGACAAAAGTTTCTTTTTTAAAGTTTATTTCCTTTTAAAGGGTTATTCCGATACCAAAAGTAATTTCCTAGAACCACGACTATTTGTATACCAATCGACGTGTTTCAGTCTCCTCTATAAGGATTGCATAAAGAAAAAGCTTGGAAACACCAAACATCCCGGAACAACTATGAAAAACTGTCAAAGAATGCGTCTGGGAGTCTGAAAGGCAATGTGGCGGAACCTTTATATACGAGAATTAATTCTATCGTAGTTTTCGTCTAGACCAGGGTAACAATTTCTCACCCTATAGGAAGCAGTAAGGGGCGTTAAAAATATTCAGCTAAGCAACTGAAAGTTAATGAACCTTTTTTTTTAGTATTTAAGGAGTTTTTTTCTTTCTTTTCACCTTTTATGAAGTTTTTCGCCTTTTCTAACCCTTCTTTATATCTTTTTTTTCTTTTAACACTCTCTAGCATACGGAATCATGAGTTCCGAAGAAAAAAGTTTCTAGTTAACGGTTTTTTTGTTTGGCTTGAAAGCTATTTAAGAAAATAGTTTTTTGATTTCAATGTTCGATAAGTTGTTTGAAAAGTATTAAGAAAATTATACTATCAGTCGATTCGAATCAAAAATTTTCGCAATTTTCCATGATTCCTAAAAGGTAGAACGATGGGAAGGTATTAATCAGAACCTTGGCTTTTTCCTTAGCTTTTCATGTGGCTTTCCTTAATGAAAGGGTAATAATTCTACATATCCGCAAGGACCTTGGCCTCCGGGAAATCGCTCCTTGAAAAATCTAATGAAAAACCAAAAAAAACAAAAGCCACGTGAAAACGGACTCGGATTCGATTTGAACCGTCGAGGCGTGGCCTCGACGGTATGAACACTAACCACTCGGCCAAACCGGTAGCGGGTCCACGCTCGCCGAGAATGGCTTATAATGGTTCGAAGCAAAAATCGGATTTCGCTTAGGACCGGAATACCCTTTAAAGCGCAAAATGTTTCACTTCCAAAGTAAAAAAAGGTTCTAAAAAAATCTTTACCGAGTATTAAAAAATTTGTACGCGAGAAAGGTGGGATTTACAAGCTTGATCACGAAGTATATTACAGAGCTCAAAACGTAACTATAGAGCAAACCAAAGCCACAGCAAAGGAAACGTACCATTTTGAAGAAATGTTTCCCAACCACACATCCCAAAAACACAGTTCAGCACTCAATTCTTTTCATATTTCCCCATTTTTATGAATACACCGGTTCTCCTGTCATTGTTTCCTTCCATTTACGGGTTTCCTTTATTTATTGGTACTCATTTTTTCTTTTTTCATCGTTGCTTGTACATTTGTGAATTTTACAAATATCCGTTTTTCTCTGCGTTTAGTAATAACATATCAATGAGAATAATGAATTTATTTGACTATGGATGTAAATAAATATCTACAGAACGAAAACATCCCAAGGATAACACTAAACCAAATCGAAGGGGTCTCCTTCCTTAATCGTTGAACAAAGAGAGTTTCAGAAAGACAGATTCAAGATCAAACGTGACAATTTGATATGGCGAGTGAATAAAAGCGAGAGATAAGGCCTTCCTTTTTCAAGACTCTGACTCTTTTCAAACGCAGCCCGATAATATTTTTTGTTCACTCGACTTGCACGAATCCTATCTTGCAGCATAATTTGAAAAATTCAATTTTGCTTCCTTGTTCATTTTGATTATTTAACTACGGCTCTTCGATTTGTCTTCATTAATAAGGGCTTCGACTTAAAAACTTAACTTAAGAACAAATAAACTTTGCCAAATGATACGTGTAACTAGATTTCGTGATTTGCAGAGCTCAGTTCAGAGCTGAACCTTCAAGGATTAGCTGTTTAGTCTAGGCACAACGGTTAGCTGGATCGTAAAACTTCTTATGAGAAGATAAAATATAAGGACTCAGATCATATGATCAGCCAGATAAGGGCCCCTACAGGGTGGCTGATGAGAAATGCCGGAACGCTTGTTACTTCTCGAGGTTACTTCGAAATCTTATGAGCAACCTGCTGAAATGTTGCTATCAGTCTAGGGACTCTAAATATAGGCATGAATGTTACAGACAATAACTGGCAAATTTTCTTGCAATTCTTGTGCTTTTCCAAAAAGGCATCTTGCTAGAGGTCGATTCTAAGCTTCTCATACCAATCGAGGGTTTATTTATTTGGCTAAATTTCCATTTTTTGCTCCTAAATGTTGTCCTCAAGGTTTTCTTTCTGAAATAATTTGGATTTGGCTCCAAGTGACGATTATAAAAAAACTGCAATCTTCTTTCTGGTTCTCAAAGCCCTTTTTGGATTAAGTCGAGTTTAAGAAACACAAAACAAAAAATGAATTTAATGAACTAAAAAGATTCCGTTTATTATTATCCTATCCCCCTCCTTTTCCCTAAACCCACAATCAATGAATCTGGGAATAGAGTGAAGAGAAAAAAAATAAAGCATCCCTTTCTTGCAAAAGTTTTTGTCCTCATCTTCCAGCTGCTTTTTGAATTTTCATTTCATCTCTTCTGGTATATTTTATATTATTAGTTCTTTAGGTCAAAGCCATATCTGTGAGAAATGACAACATCCAATCCATTTGTTGAACGTTATATTGGGGATGGAGCAATGGGGCAAGTGTATGAACTGATTGGACACAAACCGTTGGTTATTTTTGATCTATTCACTGCTATGTTCAATAATTAGTCTTTTGTAGAGGTTTATATTGTACCATGAGCTTCTTTGTTTAGCCCTGCTGTGATCAAATATATGTTTTGTGGAAATGATGCACAATTGGAGATCTTCAAAAATGAATGTGAAGCTTTGAAGAAGATCTATCATGTAAATGTTGTCCGATTGTATCGATATACAGAAGAAGGAATAAAAGTGGGAATTGTAATGGAGTATTGTGAGAAGGGACCACTCAAGGGAGGTGGGGAGTAGATTCATATTGTGATATCTTATAGTTTAGTGATTCTTGATCCAACAATTACATATTCAATGAACACTGTTCTCACCTGGGGAATCCAATTATTTGATGCCATTGATCACATGTATCAGAAACACCAATTGGTACATCGAGATATCAAACCAGACAAGTAATATTCAGTGGTATAAATGTCGAAGTTCAATTCATTTATAGCATTTTTGTGACCAATGAATACCAGCTGAAGATTGGCGACTTTGGATTGGTAAAAGTAGTGGGGGATGGAACTGTTACGGGGACGTTTGGAATTGGAACACAACGATATATGAGTCCACCTGAAATGAAAGAGGATGGGGCACAACGGGATGTTTATGAACAAATAGAGAAGGCTGACGTATCGGTTAGTTTTACATTCATTTCCATCCAATGATAAGATATATTCATTTCAGAATTCCCATCGAAATGATGTCTACAGTCTGGGACTTGTTATGTGGGAAATCATCGAAAGGAGGTTTTTCATGTTTGAATAGTGAGCTCCTTTGTGATCTTAATAAGATTTCCAAACAAGATTTTCATTGTTTTAGAACAATTTTCACAAACTATGAGGTATCTGGAATGTTTTTTGATCGTGACCAATTATTGTTTGATATAGCACTCAAACGTGTTACTGAAATCGAATCACCTGAATGTCAATCAGAAGTTCAAGAAATCATCTTGGGGTTTGGATTCAAGATTTTCTTTTATATTTTATGGATTCATCTATCAGATGTACTAATTTTCAACGTATTCATCGTCCAAAAGCTGCTGAAGTCTTGGATTTCCTCAAACAAACACAGAAAGTAAGCCTTTCTAAAAGAAGTAGAATTTCTCGTCTACTATTATATTGAGTTGGAAAGTATGTAACCCGGTAAATTTCTTTTGACTTATTTTACCATTATGATGAATAGAATTTTGTTTTATGCAGGATTCTTAGGATTAACAAGTACGAAAGTTTGTAAATCTTTTGTGGCAAAATAACTGAGAACGGTCGGATTGAAGTTGACTTATGTTCACATGGCATGTAAATCCGTGTTCCATCGCGAAAGTTCTTCTTTCTTCCAAAATATACAGGGGAAACTTTAAAATAGCTTGCCTTAAAATTTCAGCTAAATTCATGTTTAAAACAATTAGAGAAGCACCTTTTGGTGATGATTTTCACGCCGACCTGCGGACAAACATCTCCAGAATAAGGGTCCTGAGTGAAAACTGCCTGAACGCCCACTCTCTGGCATAGCTATCTTTGGTTTCTATTCTATCTATTTTAATGGTAAAATAGGTAAATAGGAGTAAAGGAAATTTCGTAGCTTAAACAACGAGTAAAATACTGCAAAAAAGTAAAAAAAGTAAATGGTAAAATAAGTAAATAGGAGCGAAAAGAAATTTGCGTACATACTTCCCAAACGCCTTTCTTTAAAAAAACGTAGAAATTTTATACTTCTCAAATATAATAACCTAGGCAAATGAATTCATCTCTTCACTCCCTTTCATGCCCACAGAAGATAAAAACCAAAAAGAACTGAAGAAACCAATTGGATTTGATGACAGAATAGAAGGGGTTATGGTTGAATCTGAGGAAAGGAAATATGAAAAGAGATTCGAGGCAGGTAGATGGGATCACATGGGGTTTGGATTCAACAGATCGGTCAAAAGTATAATGCGAGCTAAACTCCGAACACTAAATTATGCTGAAAGAGAGAAATTCTACAAAGAAGCACCAAATATTGTTTCAAGATTAAAAGAAACTCAGACAAAAGAAACTCAGACATTCAAAGATGCTCGTTATGTGATTCAGGAAATATTGAGGGTAGAAGGATGGGAGGAAAATCTACATGAAAAGGATATTTATGAAATATTTGAATTGTTTGCTTTGGGAGATTTTAAAAAACAGGGCCTGGTAGAAAACGATGCTTTTGTACTTCTTAAAAGTCACGAGGAGATTTGGACACAAAGTTTTTACATTTGGGAATGTTGTGCGGAGCTGATTGACGATTTCACAAAAATAAAAAGAGAGACATACACAACTAATTTCTATTTTCGCTGTTTTATTTCTCAATTGACTGGTGAGGGATGGATTCATATAAAAAGGGCTCAGTTTGTAAGTGAAGACTTAAGATTATGGAAAGAAATACCAGGAAAATGGGTAGACAATCCAAGAACTGAGATCTGGAGCTATGAAATTAAAGATGGAGACAAAAGACATGAATTGCTTCATTTCTCCCATTACAAACACATCCCTCTTGAACGAATAATTGAGGCATTTAAAAAACAACAAAAAAGAGTGGAAAATACCATAAAATTAAACTTGAAATTTCTGACTCCAATAGAAGATTCGGAGAAAAATAATGTTCCATTTAATATTCAATCACTTCTGGATGAATCTTCTACATATAAAGGATTTGATGGACCCCATCCCTTCCCCCACTACATATTCCAACTTAGAAATCCTCCTCGTTTAATTTGTCAAAATCATTCAGGGAAATGTCAAATGGATGGGTTTAGAACCATGAAAAGATGGTCAAAGTTACCTAAAGGATTATACATGCCAGTATGTGGTAAAGTCACGGAAGATGGGGTTTGGGTTCTGGAAAATTACATGGATTGTATCAGCTCTCATAGAGATCTGACTTTTGATTTCGGGCCATTCCCATTTCTATTTCTTTGCTGCCAAAATCTCTTAGATATTCCATTTTTGATTCTCTTGGATCATCCAAATAATTATGAAAATGGGGAAAGTATTCCTGCATTTGATCTCAAGAAGGAATTACATCATATTGGTTTTGGAGTATTAAGAAAATACTTTCAAGGGTCAAAGCTCAAGGAGAGGGTCTATGCTTTGATCAAGATGGAATGGACGACACCCCACATTCGTTTGATTGATTATCAAGGCAATCCAAGAACAGAATGGCTTAAGTTTGGGGCCGTGGCCGAATGAATTATAGCTAATTCATCAACCAACGGGGGCCTGAATCAGTAGTTGAAGCTAAGGAAGTTATTAAAAAAGAAAGAAGAAAATCTTGGTTGCTCTGTATCCTAACCCTAGTCTTCCTGATTCCACAATTTCCAGATTTATTTTACTAGTCTAATTTTTGAACTCTTTCTGTCTTTATGCCAGTTGTTTTCTTTATCTTCTACAACTGAATAAAATAATTATCGACATCGAACGTTTTACATTCTTGAAATCTTCACAAAACCGTCCATAAAACGTCCTTTCTTCCCACCGTCAGTAATAAATGCAATTTCCAGATGAACACACACAAATAAGAGCAAGCTTTTAAAACGAATTTTCACCAAAAGGAGAATGGGAATGAAACTTTTAAAATCGTGATAAACATTTTCGAAATTATTCTAAAAGATTAAACATGGTGAATGTGTTCAAACCTAGCTCTTGTTTAGTTTTAGTTTTTCCATCATTTTCTCTGACTTTTAAACGGATTTCTGTTCCTTTTTCGTTTTGTAGATATTCATTTACATCCATAGTCAAGTAGCTTTATTATTCTCATTGATATGTTATTACTAAACTCAGAAAAAAAAGAAAAGTCCGTAAAATTCACAAATGTACAAGCAACGATGAGAAAAGAAAAGAATGAGTACCAACAAATGAAGGAAACCCGTAAATGGAAGGAAACAATAACAGGAGAATCGGTGTATTCAGAAAAATGGGGGAAATATGGAAAAATTTGAGTGCTGAGTTGTGGTTTTGGGAGTTGGATGTGTAATTGGGAAACGTTTCTTCAAAACGGTCCTTTTCCTTTGCGGTTACGGTAGCTTTAGTCACGCTTTAGCTCGATGATATACTTTGTGATCGAATCTTGTAAACACAACCTTTCTGGCGTACAGATTTTTTCGTTTTTTCTTGCAACAACGACCTGAGCACGCGAGAAATGATGTGTTTACAAGATTTTATCACAAAGTCCACAGTGAAAAGGTGCCATCAGAGTTGGGCAGTTTTTGAAGATCAAAACGAATATGTCCTAACAATTAGCAAATTGAAGACGGGAGTTGAGGGATGAATGGAGGAGACAGGACGAGCACGCCTACGTGTTTGCATTAAATTATTGACTTGAGTTTTATACACCGCTATAACTTATAACTGCAACAACAGATAACTTCAACAATTGATTTACAAAAGCTGGAACTTTCAAAAGTATCAGATTCAGCAGATAATTTTGAAAGATTTATTCGGTGATACATTTCTGAAAACTACAGGTGCATAAAATTTATCTATATTATTCATCGAGAATACGTATGGAAACAGTTTTTTAAAAAAGCAATAAAGCAATAAAGCAATAAACTTGGGGACAAAAACGTAATAGTTTCGGTAGTCTAGTAGACTATGCACTAGACCACCGAAGCAGTCGTTAAGACAGCATGTGGCGTCTTCTTAAGGAATGCGATTTAGATATCTCGCGTTTACAAAGCGTTATGCAAAAGCTAGAAACGGATTCGAGATCCCCATGGCCGACTCTATAAGATGGATTTGGTCTCGTGTCAAAAGCACAGCTTAACTCGATCCCCTTTCCTTGTTAGATCACGCCTTGCACGGGGGGGACACTGACTCTATTCTCCTAATAGTAGCATAAAGATAAAGTCAAGTTACTTTTCATACTGATCGAACTCTCGATCCTCACACACGTCAGTTAAAGGTTTTAAATTCTATAACGTGCCCTTGGGAACGTACGTAACCGTTGACTAAGTAACTTTTGCACAAGTAAGAGGCTATAAAAGGTTTCCTATCTTATTCCGTGCGGTCTTTTCTTTCATTTGAGTCTTCTCGATTCATTTTTGCTCTTGATCAAGTGATTTTTCTTTCGCATTCACTTTGCAAGTGATTCGTGTTCTCATTTATTAAGTGATTGTTTTCATTCATTTCTCAGTGAGTGTTTTATTTCTTGATTGTTGTACGTGGTGTTGTTAACGTGGAACGTAGTGTTTTGCGTGGTGATTCAGGTGTTAAATAAAGTCTTGTTTCTTTGAAGGAGCAGACATAAACCACATTGAGACTCCCTAGAAGATAAAGCACGTTACACTATAACCTCATTTAGTTCATATACGCAGGCCGGGAAACATACGTGTTGAACCCATTCTACATTGAACCACGTGAACTAAATTGAGGTGTTCGTGCAAGTGGTAGTCAAAATGGTGGTACGTGTAACGACAGCCAAAATGGCTATTACCAAAGCGGTAAACAAGTTGAAAAATTATGAAGGTGAAATGAGGCAAGTGTTTGAAAAATTGGAAGAGCGTGAAGACCTCGTTGAATTGCAGAAAGCAATTGACTTGGCACTAGAAACAGTTCAAGCTTGTGAGAGAATCACAAGAATCGTTGAGAGCAAGATATATGAGGTGGAAGGGATCCTGAAGCCTGAAGAAGAAGCTGATTGGGATACTTATACGTTGGCTAAGGAGGATGAGATGGAGCCATTAAAAGATTTGTTACAAAAAATCAAATCTAGACGTCACAATGCGGAAGCTGCATGCAGAAGAGAGCAGAAGTTCTCGCAAAAGCAAGCGGACATTACACGGGTTTATGAAGGCCGGCAAGATGACAACGTTAATGCTCATGATGAGTTACACGTTTCCTTGCCCACCAACAAATTTACTATAGAGATTCCTGAATTTGACGGGGAGGTGGAAAATTGGGAAAAGTATTGGAGCTATTTTGATAAATACGTGCACAGCAAGAGAGGAGACGATCTTGCAAAGTTAAACATTCTTGTCAAAACGTGCAAGGGTGAGGCGGCAAAAATCATAAATATGATTCCAAATGACGTGGATTTTTACCCAAATATAATTCAGGAATTGAAATCGTATTACGGAAATACGCGTATTGTGAAGGCTGCTTGGTTGCAGAAGTTTGAGAAGATCCAAAGTGCAAATTCTCACGTAATGAGCTTAAAAAACACGTTTTATGAAATTAAACAATTTCTAAAAGCGATG